GTCAAGAACACAGTTGAGTGCTCTCCCTGGACACTGGCTTGGCAACAGTTCATGTGAAAGGGATCTAGGAGTCCTAGTAGATCACAAGCTGAACATGATCCAACAGTGTGATAGGGCAGCTAAAAAGGCCAATGTGATTCTAGGCTGCATCGATAGGAGTGTAATGTCTAAACCAAGGAAAGTAATAGTACCACTCTATTCTGCTTTGGTCAGGCCTCACCTGGAATACTGTGTCTAGTTCTGGGCACCACAATTCAAAAAGGATGTGGAGAAACTGGAGCGTGTCCAAAGGAGGGCAACTAAAATGGTGAAGGGTCTGGAAACCATGAAGCCCTATGAGGAAAGACTTAGGGAGTTGAGTATGTTTAGCCTGGAGAAGAGAAGGTTCAGAGGGGACATGATAGCCCTCTTTAAATATTTGAAGGGATGTCATATTGAGGATGGAGCAAGCTTGTTTTCTGCTGCTCCAGAGAATAGGACACAGAGTCTCAATGGATGCAAGCTGCAGGAAAAGAGACTCCATCTCAAAATTAGGAAGGACTTCTTGATGGTAAGAGATATTCAACAGTGGAAGACGCTGCCATGGAGGATGGTGGAGTCTCCTTTAGAGATTTGTGAAGCAATGGTTTAGAACCAAGATCACCCCTTGGATTGAGCGGGGAAGGAATAGTAGGGCTGGGTCAGTGTCCCCTGCATACTGATGGCACTGAACCCCAAAACTTTGGACAACCTCTCCCAGTAGTTTCATGTTTATGTTAAACAGCATGGAGGACAAAATATTACCCTGAGGGACCTCCAAGGGCTGATGTCAAGGGATCAAACAGAAGTCTTCCAGCATCACATTCTGGGTTCACCCTCCAGAAAGGAATGGAGCCAAGGTAAAACACTGTCTCCAAGTCTTATCCCAGCAAGGCAGCCAAAAAGGACACCTTCACTGATGGTATCAAAAGCCACACAGAAGTCCACAGAACCAACAGGGACATGCTTGCCCTGTCTAGTTCCCAGTGTTGGTTGTTCACCAGGGCGGCTAAAACTGACACTGTCCCATCGCCAGGCCTGGAACCAGACTGAAATGGATAAGGATAATCCATTTCATCCAGGGATTATCATCCTTTAGGCATGATGGAATTCTGCCATGTTTTAGTAAGACATTGACCACTCCCTCTGGTTTTTCTGGATAATCCAAGAAGGGCAAGGATCTAACCCATGTTTGGTGCCTCTCCCCTCTCCAACACGTCTTCAAGTTGTACAAATTGAAAAGTACCCATTAACACTGGGTAAACAGGGGCCAAAGTTACATCCACTGGGTCTGTAATAATAATGATTGCATCCAAAAAAAGAGTGATGTATTGAAGTCTTTTACCCCAAGTCTCAAGTCAAGTTTGAAGTCTCAAGTCAAGTCTCAGGTTCTTACAAGATACTTTCAAGTCAAGTCTCAAGTTGAGTCTCAAGTCTCTACCTTCATATCTCAAGTCAATTCTCAGGTCTTTGCAGGACACTTTTGAGTCAGGTCTCAAGTTGACTCTCAAGTCTCCCCTTTCAAGTCTCAAGTCAAGTCTCAGATCCTTGCAAGATACTTTCAAGTTGAATCTCAAGTCTCTGCCCTCAAGTCTCAAGTCAAGTCTCAGGTTCTTGCAAGATACCTCCAAATCAAGTCTCAAGTTAAGTCTCAGGACTCTACCTTCACATTTTAATTCTCAGGTCCTTGCAAGATACTTTTAAATCAAGTTTCAAGTTGAGTCTCAAGTCTCAAGTCAAGTCCTTCAAATAGCCTAGACCCAAGCCATATTCTGGATGATGTTAGGCCAGCAAGTTGGTCACTAAAAATATACAAATTGCGAGGCAAGAAGAGTTAGGGCATCATTTATTGCTGAGTTGAGTCTAAGGGGGGAAGCAGACTGGCGGCTCTGCAC